TACACATTTCACTGCCTCTTTATAACAAGTTCCTCATATTATTACAACTCAAGAAGCTCGAAAGCCAGCTTGCAAATTTTGACCAATATCTTCCACTTCCGCCGGAAATAGACAACGGCAAAATCAAGAACTGCACTCACTCCAGGCCACGTGGTAAATAAATTAATTTCCATGCTCTTTTAACGACAGCAGCAAGACCCTCCAGCTCATCAAGTCGACCATCCACTGCACATTCCTCCAGAGATGGAAGGCAAACTCCCATGCGGGCTACACCCAGTAGTGATGGCAGCAGGTAAGGGGATGAGCTATTCAGCTCAGTAGCTACAGTTCCTCGTTAGATTCTGCAACAAGACTGATAGACTGTATAGAACAATAAGCTTGTGGTGTCATCATATCTACAAAACCTATCAGTGCCTACTGACATGTATGATGTAGCTACCTGTGTCTGCAATTCCCACACTGTCCTTCCTACATACATACCTGCCTTCATGTACTAAGTGCATACCTACCTACTGAACGACTGAAACTACTGACGTACCTACGTACCCTTCCTACCTACCTTCTTACCTGCCTAACAACCTACCAACCTACATGTACTTTCTCAGTGCCTAACTACCTACTGAATAACAAAAGTGACCGACCTACCCACCCGTCCACATGTACCTACACATCTCCCTCCTACCTACCTTCCTACCCAATGGCACCCCCATTCAGCTACCTAACTACCTACCTACCTTCCAACATGTACCTACTTACCCCCTACCTACTTTTCTACCTACCTACCTACCAACCTTTTCTCCCTACCTTCCTACCTTCCCATCGACTGACCAGTACCTACCTACCCATTCACCTTCTTACTAACCAACTAATCTACCTACCTTCCCACATGTACCTACCTACCTTTTACCTACCTTCTTCCCTACCTACTTACCAACCTTTACTACCTACTTATGTAGCTACCTAACCCTACCTATCTTCCTGACCGGTGCCTATGCAACCATTCACTTCCTACTTAATGGACTGACCACCTACCTTCCCACATGTACTTTTTTACCTACTTTCCAAGCTCTCCTAGCTACCCACCTTCTTACCTTCCTACTGACTGACCAGTACCTACCCACCCATTTAACTTCTTACCTGGCAGACTGACCTATTTACCTTCTCAGGTGTACCTACTTACCTACTTACCAACCTCTCCTACCTACCTTACTACCTTCCTACTAACTGGCCGGTATTATCCACCCATTCACCTACCTACCTACTGCCTATCTACCTACCAACCGACTGGTACTTACCCACCCATTCAGCTACCTACCTACCTTCCTACTACTTATCTACCAACCGACTGACTGGTACTTACCTACCCATTCACCTACCTAGCTACCTTTCTTCTACTTATCTACCAACCAACTGACTGGTACTTACCCACCCATTCACCTACCTATCTTCCTACCTGCCTACCAAACAGTACTTACCCACCCATTCACCTACCTTCCTACCTAACTATCTAACCAATCCACTCACTCACCAAATTCTTCCTATATCCTCTAGTCTGTTTGCCTGCCTGCCTGCCCACATGTGTTCGTTTATCATGACTAATGAACTTAACCTCTGTTTAAGGTGTACATCTTCTCTCAGTGATCATCTGGATTCCATGAATGACAAACTGAATGCACTTGAAATTGATAGAATTACTGATCATCTAAGGTATTGTGCCTCTACACAATGGAGCTACATTTTTCTAATTTATTTTATTTCAACTGAATGAAACTTCAATCAAGCCGTCAAGCAACCAGATGGCCTTGGAAATTTGAAATCTAATTGTTCAAATTCATATATAACTTGTGCCTGTTTCAAATTTTTGACAATTTTTTTTTTGAAAAGTGCAGATAAAAATAGTCATAAGTGGTTTGGCATTGAAATGTTTTTTTTGCTGCTGGCTTTACTTGTCTTAGAGGAGTCTTGTGTCATCTTATTCCTCATCGTGCCCCGCAGGACACCTAAGAGGAAAGGCCAATAGTAAATTCAAGACTTTGTGAGTTGGTGGGACTAAAATCTTTGCAAAAGAAATAGAAGTTCCAAAATGGTGTTGCCAAAAAAATTTGAGATCACAAGACCTGTGAACTTTGGCTTATATCTGGGGAGATGTAGATTTTTCAGTGAACTATTCAACACCCTCTGTAAGGCTAGCTAATGGTAAAGTAACTGATAAGCCATCAGCTCACAGAGGGGAGGGGGAAATCCCATGTGAAAAGGTTCGGGATGCTCATTGTCTGCCTTAGGGGTGTAAATCATAGATTTTGGCCTAACTTAGGTTGTTCAGGATGAAACACCGCTATTTTGAGCGAACAAGGTATCTTTTAGGGTTGCTCTTGAAGAAATAATTAAAAACTCTGTCATGTCCATTTTAAAATGGTATCTTTTAAGGGCCAAATATAGCTTGTGCCATGCCAAGATAGGTCTCCCTTAGAGGTTTTAAAATTCAAATTTTTTGACAAGCATTCTTGACCTTCTCACATGGGAATCCCCCCCCCCCCCCCCCCCCCCCCCCCCC